CCCGACTACGATTCAGTGAGGCTACCCCACTGCTGGAAACGCTAAGACAGGAAGGGGAACCGTGGTATCTGTGCTAAATCGCTCCGGTATAGCAGAGAAACGCACTGCGCTCTAGGTCTCGGTGCCACTAGTCAGTCAGCAGAAATCCGTTTTCCTCCGCACATCATCCATTAGATTGGTCATACGAAACCCGCTGGGCCTGGACTGGATCACAGCAGCCTTGTCAACAACTCCTTAGTCCTGTCAAAGAGGTTCTCGTTGTCTTATGTGGACCAGATGTGAATGCGACAATGGGTCTACAGAGATCAAACTCGCATACGGCCAAACGGCCGCGCCTTGAAGGGCGGACCATGCTAGCATGTACTGGATGCAAGCAGAGAAAGCTCAAGGTACATCTGGTCTACTGTATCTTGATAGTTGATAACTGGTGCTAATCATTACGATAGTGTGATGGCCAGTCTCCCAAGTGCCAGAATTGCGAACGTACAGGAAGAGGTGTGTAAAGATACCGATCGAATCGATAGAATCTTACTGACATGACATGCAGACTGCCTCGTGGAAGATCCGGCTACAGGTCTTCACCGACCGCGTGATTATATGCAGTCATTGGAGGCTCGGGTGGCATATCTAGAAGGGCTTCTTCAAAACATCCGGCCTGATGTTGCTGCAGATCATTTCGGCGCAGATGGGGAGCCCGGGTCGAGCTCGTTATCGTTTGGCGGACTGCAACTTAGTCAGGGCAACCAAAGGCCTGAGATCGCTCGAGCCCAATCCTCAGAAGCAGAGGAACAGAACGTCGACCAGCTGTCATCGGAGGTTGCGCTATTATGTCTGAGCGCCGCTGGCCGAGAGCCACACTACTTCGGTCCATCTTCTGCTGTCTCCTTTTCTCGGATCGTGAGTGCTACCATGGGTTTGCCGAAGAAAGGTGGAGCGTCGCGGCCGAGTGTAACTGGAGAGAGAAGTGGAAATTCCCCTGAAAAGCGAGAAGAGAAACTCAAGTTTCCTTCAGCTGCTACGCGTGCTAGTCTGTCTCGTGCCTTCTTCGACAACATTCATCCTCAATACCCATTCTTGCATCGTCCAACATTTCGGGCTTGGGAGGAAGCTTGCGTCGACTTTCTGGAAGAGAATACCACTGAGGTCAACAAAGTCGCTCTTTTCTTCGTGCTCATGGTAAGGATGAGTCTTTTGTGCTATCGCTTTATTGCTGATCATTGATCAGGTTTATGCCATTGGATCGCTCGGACTGGGTCAGAGTCAAATTGACGCCGCGCAAGTAAGGGTTCTTAGTCCCTCTATGGGAGTTCAACGACTTATCAACTATAGTCATATTATTCCGCTGCCCTAGATCATATTGCCCTGGTCATCGACCTTGATGGCCTTGAATCAATCCAAGCTATCCTGTGTTGCGCAGTCTACTCGATCCGATCACCAGTTGGAGTCAGTCTTTGGTAAGCGCTTTGTTGTTGGTGTGCATAAAATAACCCTGTGATTATTTCTGATCTTGACTTTAGGAAAGTATCAGGCATGGCGATCCGGCATTGTATCGAACTAGGGTATCACCGCAGTGCAGAGACTTACAGGAAGCACGCCGATGTCCTAACAAAGGAGATGTCAAAGCGTTGCTTCTGGGTTGCGTATGACATTGATCGAGTAGCAGCTTTCATTCTCGGCCGTCCCGTAGGAATACCGGATGATGCTATCGATGTTGAGGTACTCAGAATCTCACTTTTGCACTTTACGAAGCATGCCTACTAACACATAATGGTCTAGCTTCCACTCGATATCGATGACGAAAATATTACCCCTGTCGGCCTTCGATGCGATCCGCGTACCACAACTACTGATCCACCGACTCTGATGACTGGTTGTTTACATGCTATAAAACTGCGTCGACTGTGGACAAAGATTGTCGATGTCTTGTATCCAACGAACTCCCAGCGACATCGGGTGAATCCCCACCAATGCTCTGTTGAAGCGCTCCGACAAGAACTCGAGGAATGGCTAGCATCAACGCCGGATCAGCTTGACTATTCTCATTCGCATCCTCTGTCAGTTTTCGCCTCCAGTCAATGGTTTACACTGGCATATGATCATGCTATCCTTCTCTTGTATCGTCACTACATTTGTGGTGCTGCGCTAGGTCAAACACAGAGAGACTCCACACTCACGGAGCTTACTGAAAAGGCCTTCGAGGATTGCTTCGTCCGTTCGAGAGAAATGTGTCTGCTATACCGCAGAGTATACCAAAGCTCAACTGTTCAATTCACCTGGGGCAGTCTCCACATTCTCTTCACAGGTGGACTAACATATTTATATTGCCTATGGCGATCGGAGCGTATTAGATCGATGGCACGGCAGACAGATGTTGTGAATACATGTATGGCTTGCACCACAGTCCTCGTCATCATAGCTGAGCGGTGGAATCTTGCGACATCATACCGAGACATCTTTGAGACCTTGTCAGAGCGAACTATCAACATGATTTGTGGCGGGGGCAAGGAGCCCGAACCCCCAGCGCACATGCTTGGCTCGCAGACTCTGCCCAATGCTGTTCCGGCTTTTGTCGAAGCCGACCCACCGCCACTTCAAGACTGGATCATGGGGCTCGACGACATGTCGATTCCTCAGGACTCCGGTTGGCTAGTCCATGAGCTCCTGCAAGATGTCCGGGATTTTCAGGGGGGTGACTTCTATGGCCACGAAACGCCATCATCGGCGCCAAATCTACTCGGCCCGTCTTATGATCCCACCCTCACTGACGGTAACGACATGTCAGGGAATCATTTTGAAACTCATGGATGATTTCATCACTCATATATTCAATTAACGCTCTGGTGTTATTACCCGAGGATCATTGTCAGCTCTTATCCGCCGCTGAGCTAATATTACGCTACCGAGCAAAACCAAAGACTAAATATGACCGCAACAATTAGGACCTCAACTTCATCGCACACGTGTTGAGACTCCCTCGTTGAGCAAGCGAATAGAGGTCGTCCGAATCGAGCACCGCACAGCCTAAAGCTTGCTCTAGGCCTGCTTGATCGGGGGTTGGACGACGTACATCCTGTTCAACTGTGCCCTTCCCGGACTTGCTGGTCTGCAAGTTTGACTGGAAGATTCCTGCAGCAGAAAAGGGCAAAAAGTCTTCATATGTGATAGGAACGGCTTCGATTACGCCTTCGTCAATCAGCTTTTCGATGATCTCTGGATCCGAAGCTCCATCTTTGACAGTGGCTGAATTGAAAGCCTTGCCAGTGCAACGATATTCCGAATACACCAATCCTTGTTTCCGCAGCTCTTTCCACGAGTCTGGGTAGCGCTGGAATGTTTTAACAATGATTGAATCCACAGCCTCTGGCGTCAGGCCATCTGCATCTGCCATTGCATCATGAAGCAGTTGGTCGTATAAAACTCTGCCTGCGGGGGTGACGGCGGCGCCGCGCTCTTCAATTTCACCAAAGCGGGCTTTATGAGAGCCGTCGACAAGTTCCTGGTCATTTTCTTCTCGGCATTTAAATTGAATCGACTCCTCCAGGGCTAGAAAGCTCGTTTGTCTGAGCAGGATTGGGCAGTCTCGTGGAGGAGGTCCTTCGATTCGGTCTTTGACAGCCATCCCAGCTTCAGCCATTGCTGTCTGTGCTGCTGTGATGTCGAGTGTTCGTGGTGTTAAATGATTGATATGGGCGGTCTGGAAGCAGGCAATATCAGCGAGGATAGGATGCTCAGCTTTTAGCACTTGGTATTCCGTGTGCGTTGCTGCCGCAATAGGCTGCCAGCTGAATGTCTTGAGAGCTTCTCGAATGAAGACTTCGGCTTGACGTGGTTGCAGTAAGGAGTCTTGAGACTCAGCGATTTCAAGCGTCTCGATCAACTCTTGGGTAAAGATCCTTCTTCTTGCTAGAAGTTGAGAAGCTAGCTCCCGTGCTTTATCTGATCGCACAAGCTCTGGACGAAGTAATGTCGTGAAAACTCGAAATGGGTTACGTGCCAGAGATGACGTCGACGTCGGTCTAAAGCAGGTGGCATGCATTGGCAACCCGGCAACAGACAAGTCGTAGTAGCCTACGGCTTGCATGCCGAGCAAGGCGAAGATTCTGCGGACCGTGCGAAGCTCCTCTGGTGTCCCGAGTCTGATAGCTCCATGACGCTCAAGAGTAAGACGTTCTAAGCTGTCGACACTCTTAGAAGCGCCCTCTGGATTGGAAAGAACCTTTGCATTGACGCCTTGGACGATACGGATCAAGTCTCCGTACAGAGGAACCTCGTTCCTGTACATCTGCGACAGGGCAAGGGCAAAGGTTGTTCGGAGGTCATCGGGATGGACAAAACGAGCTTCAAGGTTGCCGCCAGAACCAAAGCCTTGTTGGCCAATGCTAGAGATGGTTGAAGCCATTTGGCAGGGAAAATCTTAGAAATCTTAAATCAGAAGGAAATTGATAGATAGATGTGCAATGGCCGTAATCATGAAGATATCTTATCTCTTGTATCAAGACTGGATATTTCAAGTTTGACTTACCATCCATCCATCCACTTCAACCTTTCCTCGCGCTCCTCCTCCGAGTTGATATCATTCACGATGGCCTGATACGGTTCCTTCCGAAGCAAGCAACTATCTCAATGAATTAGATCTCAGACATCGGCCATCCGACCGAGGAGGCAGTGACGCATCTCATTGCTTCGGTTGGCCGCGGGATCTACCGGGATACGTGAGGCCCCACAAGAGTGTCATATCTCCGCATCTCGGCCTCTCAAGCGGCGGCCAGGTGTGGCCGGTCTGCGTGCTCATTAGCTCGGGGGTATCCGATCAGCGTGCCGCACACAAGTTGCCACATACCTGAAGGTAGTGGAATCGGCACTGCTGAAGCTATTTTTCAAGACAAAACATCTCGGACATTGCATATGGTGTTAGATGGGTGTTAGCTGCCAGTTAAACTGTGTTCCCTCTTGAAAACGAACTGATCCATTTTCCTTTAGCGATCATTCAATCTTTCATAATGTCGTCTACCACCACGGTCACTAAAGCTGCTTCTGTGCCCATCAAGACCGGCGGGTCGGCGCTCAACTCAGAAAACAGGGACGGGCAGGTTAAGAGGATCCACCACATCCCGCGCCCCGAGTCGAAGGAGGCCCAGCGGAGATGGCAGCTTGAACAGATGGCGGGTGCCTTCCGAATCTTCGCCAAGCTGGGCTTTGCGGATGGTGCCAGCGGACACATCAGCCTGAGAGGTGTGTTCTGCCTCCAACACACATAATACCTCCAATCAAATATCAGACTGACCACTTGATAGACCCCGTCGATCCGGAAACGTTTTGGATTAACCCGTATGGCGTGCATTTTGCCCTTCTCAAGGTGTCTGACATGGTCCAAGTCGATGCCGATGGAAACCGTATCGGTGGCGCTGACAAGCCCGTAAACACTGCCGGCTTCATCATCCACAGCGCTATTCATGCCAGACGGCCAGATGTCCACGCTGCCTGTCACATGCACAGTCCATACGGCAGGGCATGGTCTACATTCGGTCGGCCTATCGACATGCTCAATCAGGACAGCTGTATGTTCTACGAAGACCTGTCCGTGTATGCCAACTTCGGTGGTGTAGTCTTTGCGAAAGAGGAAGGTGGCAGACTCGCCGACTGCTTAGGGCCACGTAATAAAAACATCATCCTGCAGAACCACGGCCTGCTAACCTGCGGCTCAACGATCGCTGAGGCTGCTGCGTTCTTCATTGCTTTAGAGCGAGCATGTCACGCCCAGCTGTTGGTCGAGGGATCTGTTGCTCCCGGAACAAATGGCGCGGTAACTGGCCTACAGAAAACGATAGTAAGTGCCGACGAGGCCGCGTATACCAAGAAGGGAACAGGCACTCCTGAGATCATGTATATGCAATTCATGCCGGAGTACGATTTGATGATAAAAGAGACAAATGGTGACTTTCTTCTATAAGCTACGATGTTGGGGAATAGCATAGGCGGACGAAACCATTACTCATCATACACGCGTATGAAAATTGATAAGAAGTCTAACTACCAAGTCATAACAATAGCCCTTCGAAGGAATCACAAGAGTCACAGGTGAAATGAAAGAATTGCATAATTTCCTCCTGATCATGCTTTCATCTCGTCAAGAATTATAATTCATACAGCATTTGTTACGAGCCTCGATACGCTAGAATTTTGCGAACTCTATCAAAGGTCATATGCATATGTTCTTGGTTCACGCTTTTGTCATGTCTCTGAAGTCAAGCTAGTAGCCCACATGCTTTCGTCGTGCTGTTCATTGAACAGCTCTAGATGTGTCTACGACACATTATACACACGTCTCGCGTCTTATTAATCAAGTGTTCATGCTTGACATCTCACATAAAGACTTATATTCTATCTCGGTGTTTTCAAATCCGTGTATTGCCACTTGTCAATAGTTCATCTCGGTATCTTTGCCAGAGTGCAAGACCCATGCATTTCTCATCGCCCAATGGCATCTTCAGAGCCAAGGGCGATTGTAAGTGGCTAGCGCGTGCAAGGTAGCTCGGGGGAATCCGAGCAGGGTTTGTGAAGAACAAAAGGAGAATTCTACGCTGTCCTCGGAGGAAACCGAGCTAACGAGTGCCCCACACCGGTGACGAGCATGGGCACTGACTGGCAAGACTACTCTAGAATAGCTTAACAGCCGACTTACTGCATCGGCTTTCTAATGTCCATGTTTGAACGAGCTATCTTTTGAGGTCCCTTGCTTTTCACACCTTTCGATTTCTTATCTCGAAGTGTCCATTGTCGGGAGCCCATTGGATCTTGCCCGTAAGACACATTCGGTGCCCTGCCTGTCATTACCTGCATTCCTCTTTGTGGACAACCCCGCCTCAAGCTCACAGCCACACCATCACCATCATGTCTCCAAGTCGTGTTGAAAAGAAGCCGAGGGTCGTCTGTCTCGGCAAGCCGAAGTTCGTCGGTGACGATTATCTGGCCAAATTTCAAGAAGAGTATGACTTCACCATACTAGAGGCCTACGATCACAAGCAGACCAAGGAGAAGCTCCCAGTAGAGCTCAAGGAGAATGGCCCTATCGATGCTTTCATTATTCGAATGGGTACTCCCCCGTATGAGCCCTTCGATGAGGAAATGTTCCGGATGATGGCTCCTAGCCTGCGTATCGTCACGTCAGCAAGTGCTGGTTTCAACGAATTTCCTGCTGAGTGGTTGGCCAACGAGGGCATCTATTTCTGTAACACGGTTGACGCTGTTGCAGAAGCCACGGCTGATATGGCTCTATTTCTCACTCTCGCGGTCCTGAGGAACACGACAAATGCTGAGAAGAGCGCAAGAAATGGCACATGGCGCAAGGCTGAGGGCATTGTGCCGGCTAGAGATCCCTCAGGGCTAACGCTCGGTATCGTTGGCATGGGAGCTATTGGAAAGGTGAGCCATACATCTATGAAGCTGCACAGTCATTCAGCCATGCTCACACTTTATTAGTACCTGGCAAAGAAGGCAGCAGTTTTCAACCTCAAGATTCGGTATTACAATCGGAATCAACTGTCATCGGAGGAAGAAGCTAAATATGGAGCCACTTACTGCAAATCGCTGCATGAGCTCCTATCTTCATCTGACATTGTCTCCCTAAATTGCCCACTAAATGCCAACACAACGAATCTCATTGGACCGAAGGAGTTCGCGTCTATGAAGGATGGTGCATTCTTGGTCAACACAGCTCGTGGTGCGGTAGTGAATGAGGCAGCACTCAAGGATGCCCTGACTTCTGGCAAAGTTACGCGTGCAGGACTAGATGTCTTCTGTGATGAGCCAAACGTAGACAAATGGTTCCTGGAGAGCGACAAGGTGATTGTACAACCCCATCTTGGCGGCCTTACGGATATGGCATACCAGAAGGCGGAGAGGGAATGCTTCGAGAACATCAAGGCGCTCTTCAAGACGGGAAAACCAAACTCGCCTGTACTGCCGCTGAAGAAATGAGGGCGGAAGGACGAACCGGAAAGAAAAGCAACTGTACCAAATTTTCATATAGAGATTAGATCGGGCAATTAATGGTCAACGTGGCGCTGTCATAGTTTGACAGCTTCCTACATCAATACACCAGTGCGTCGCTACACATCGTGAGTGTTCCACGTGAGAGCTTGAAGGAACGAGTTGAGTTGAGGGGTTCTCTGTCGGTCACTAGCGAGACATATCAGAAAGAGCCGCTGGGATTATCAATACAATACAGACTGAATCTACCCGTGCGGACGTACTTAAATCAAATTATCAATATGCATATGGTCTCGTCCGTAAATTAGAAAAAATTGATTTGAACTTGAACTATTCCCAGGTTGCATCAAGAAGTCATGGCATGGATTGTTAACCCATTACGTGGCCCGGCACATTGAGATGAGCTTCGCCGAAAAAGTCACGGTAGAGTTGAAGAATGAGTCCTAGTGGAGAATTCAAGGGTCTCGACATGACTGACAGCCTACTCGCGTTTTTGCTTGAGTGATATTGAACTTTGTCCATTGGGCCAAGGGTCATGCTGTAAATTCAGTCCGGCAAGCCTTGATAGGCGAAAGCCTTGCGACATTGTAGGCGCCGAAGATTCGGGACAAGCCGAGCATCATCCACGCGACACTTACAGCGGCTGGATGCTAAGGCTTGCTTAGTCTAGTGGAGCTCAGATAACGATGAGCGCTACGACATTCTAGCCTGACGTAAGGAAATTCCAAACCATGTCTCTCTTTTTATTTCCAATCAACTAGACCGCAATGCGACTTGATGCGAACTAAACAGTTCCCGACCATATTGGTGAAAGAAACTCCCATCCTGTACATCGTATCAGGCTCCTTAGAGGATTGCCATGCCGACTAGTGGCCGCTAAGTATTTTCCGTCATACGATCGAACTCACTTTGGCGGCGGAAACCGAATGTAGCCTTGCCAACAATCAATACCTGCCAACAGCTTGCCCTGACTTATACCAACGGAGCTTCAGACCGCAGGGCCTGGACGCGACCCAATTTCAAGTCGAAGCTGAATTCATTTGTGTAGGCAATTGGTGATCATTGTTTCGCAGTTCACGGCCACTGGACATTTGACATCAAACCATCGACGCGATGGCTTCACCAGTCTTGAAAAGAGATTCTCCGATCATCATCGTTGGCGCAGGTGCCTTCGGCCTTAGCACAGCATTACACTTGGCAGAGCGAGGTTACAAGAATGTTACGGTCTTCGACAAGCAGCCATACGATGCATCGCTTTACTCATACTTCAAAGGAGCGGACGCTGCATCTGCCGACATAAACAAGATTGTCCGAACAGCCTATGGCGCTGTTACTCTCTATCAAGATCTCTCATTCGAGGGCGTTGACGGGTGGAAGGCCTGGAATGAGGAAATTGCCAGTGGCCGCACCGTACCACCAGGAATGACCACGGCGGACCGTGTTTTCATTCCGAACGGAAACCTTTCCATGACAGACGCCGATACTTTGCCACAGTTCGAAAGGGATACGGTGATCAACGTCGAGAAGGCTGGGTATAAGACCCAACTGATCTCTGGTTATGCTCCGCACGAGGAGCTCGCACGACAGACAGGTTTTTCATTCGGACTAGATCCTTTCAGAAGGAAGCAAAGGGGGAAGTCGAATACTGCGGTGCTAGATTCCGCGGGCGGCATGGCAGTGGCCGATAAAGCTTGCCGATTTGCTCTGCACAAGGCACGCAAACTTGGGGTGCGCTTTGTGCTTGACCAACAAGTTGGTGCCTTCGAATCACTGTGCTACGCAGATTCGTCAGCTAAGAAGATTGTGGGAATCAAAACTCGCGATGGGAAAATGCATAATGCTTCCCTGACCATAGTGGCCTGCGGTGGTTGGACGCCTGCTGTCATCCCACAACTGGACGGGCTGTGCGAGGCTTCTGCTGGCTCTGTCGTTATCTACAAGATACCGAAAGAATCGCCTCTTTGGGACAGATTCGGTGCAGATCAATTTCCAACTTGGATGTGGAATATGAGAAACGGCGCGGAAGGGGGTCTTTACGGATTTCCTAGGGACGAAAATGGTCTGTTCAAGATTGGCTATCGTGGAACGAAATATACCAATCCCACGGTTCAAGCAGACGGGAAAGAGCGTAGTACACCCATCACTCGATGGTCCGACGGAGAAAAGCTCACAACGATCCCTACACAAGCATTGAAAGTAATTAGCAATTTCGTCAACGAATATTTGCCGGAGCTGGGCCAGGAAGGGATCACAATACACACTACTCGTATCTGTTGGTATAATGACAGCTATGACAACCATTTGGTCATTGATCGAGTACCTGGCACTGATGGTCTAATGGTGGCGACTGCAGGGAGTGGCCACGCATTCAAATATATGCCATGTATTGGTAAATGGATCGCCGATATAGCGGAGGGTGTTGGGTTGGACCGGCCGGCGGTGCAGGCTTGGAAATGGCGGGCAAGGAGTGTAGACGAAGCTCCAATCAACGTTTTAATGGAGGGAAAGGCTGGCAAGAGGGCTCTGGGTAATGTACCTCTTGTGTCGCAAGCTGAGCTCGCTGGAGGTATAGCAAGATCCAGGTTGTGAATAAAGTTAAACTCAAGATTGAATTTATCAAATACTAATTTGTGTGTATTCTATCTGGGAGAAGAAGAAAAACTCTTCTGGTCGCGCTACGTATCTTTATTATGTGTGATAAGAATTGGTCTCAGCTTAGTACCTAACGCAAGCAAGACTCATAGCCACACTGAAGATATAAAGAGAGTATATAAACAAAATAGGAATTATTGGCCGTATCATGAGTGAGCATTGACATAATAGGATTGCGGGAACATAGCCCCTGTGTAACCTTCCTTGATTTGTCCTCAAGATCTCTAAGCTAGTCATAATCTTCCGTGCTAGCCAATTTTTAGGGGTGTTTCACTTCGCTTGCTGCGATAGGGTTTGTAAAAAGGAGTCGCATACATATGAATGAAAATCGCGCGGCAATGCGACGCTGCTAATTACCCACTTCCCCGAGCCTTTGCCTCAACAAATTTGCACAATCTCAAAGTCTCTTGGGGATTTGTTTGAACGGGTCGAAAGACGTATATTTGGCCGTTCACACCAGAACTTCTCAATATCGCCAGCATCGATTACAGAGGAATTTGTGATGGCGAAGATACCAGTGATCAACCATGTCTCACGATAAGCATCATCTGGCGACGTCGACACGTTGACTCTTTCCGCACTTTTGTCTTCAGCAATGTGATGTTCAATTGATGGAATAAGGGTCCGTTGAGAGATGAGATTAGTGTTTGCATCTGGTCGCAGCAACAGAGGTGCACTCTTCAGGTGAATGCCATGTCGGTGAGCGGTATCCGCATACTGTGACTCTTGTGTGAGATCAACAACGCCGCTCGAGCCCCGATCAGAATATATGAGACAAGAGTTATCTTCGGTAAGCCATCCTTCTGTTTGAATTGACCTCGTCGTAGTGTCAGGCTGAGATTGAAATTTGGCTAGGGCAAACCCGTTGCGCGCTTGAGCCGGTGCGGCAAAACCGCTGTCTACTAAACGTATCGTAGCGTTCCCTGTTGGAAATGATTTCGGTTTCCACTTCAATCGATGAATGCGTAGATGCCATCCAGGCCACTGTTTGACAGGAGGTACAAGTGTTGTCTCCACCAGAAGATCTCCCGTGTTCTTGGGTTTCCAAGTACTGCGGAGAGCCGGGATCTCTATAGAACTTTCGCGAGCCATGTCCGGAGTGACAATCCTCAAAGAGTATAAGTGGACGTCGAAAGGATTACATCTTACCAACCACGTATCTCCGTCATCCAAGGTGAGACAAATAGTACTGTCAGGGGCAAGCTGTTCTAGCAGTGGCCCTGTTGGGACACTGAAACCAAAGCCCGATGAGTAAGCAAGCTTCCCGTACTTAGCCTCTCTGGCTCTATGATGTTTGGCGGTTGACTGGCCAGATGAAATTAAAAAGTGATGTTGCTTCATGTTGCATAGAATGTGTCTTGGTGGCCAAATAACGGAGACTTGGCTTATTGAAGTACCGCCGTCCTCGATAGAACTGTTCCGAGCGGTAGCATCCAGGGGGTGAGGAAGCTCTTCACAGGCCCAAAAGGGGTGATCCTCAGGAAGTCCAATAATTATGAAAGTCTTCAAACACCAATATACTGATTGGGGCGAATTGTAATCTTCACTCATGTACATATTTGGGTAAGTGTAGCCAATGTTAAGTGTGCCATCAGGATTGAAGATCCCAGTATGTTGGGTCCACCAGCGCAAATGGCGAAGCAAGAAGCCTTTGATCATGCCGAGATTGTCTAAAGGTGGTGGCAGCTCTACCGCAGCAGCAACAATTGCCGACCAGAAAGCCGCAAAAGCAAATCGATATGTTAGGCTCCTACCAAAAGGTATTGCTGCCCCTATCTTCGTTATTAGCTCAGGAAAAGCCTACCATAAGACGTATTTCTTCTCACCATTAAAATCAAAGTACCTCCAGAAGGCGATCGCAAATTGTCGTGCATCGTCCTTGTACTTATCAATTCTTTCCTTGTATGTCGAGGACTTCCCGCTTTCTTCCATAACTTTCACGAAAAGCAGCCTCGCAAATTGTATTGCGAAACTTCCAGAGTAATAGTCTGCTTGCTTTCTTTCCTCGCCCCACAGACCATCGCTACTCCAGCCTTCACCTATGTAGAAGGTATCCAGAGTATTCAAATCAACCTCAATATTTTCAACGGTGCCAGTGAGTGTGCACAGTGCCAGATTAACAAATATGCGAAACCACAGCCAGTTGTTTTGGGGCATCTGTTTTGAATTAATTTGTCGGAGCCATGAGGCGAGATTAAACTGAGCATCTTCACTCAAAGAAGAAAAAGCCTGAGGTGTTGTAAGAAGTGCATATGAAATTGATTCCATCTCAACCATTCGTTGGTCAAAGTCTCCTAAGTCTCCCCAGTACTCCAGCGATTCGGGATCTGTTCCTG